ATATGCTAATTTTTTGGGACAGGCATTTTGGGTTTTCATGAGCTGTATGCCATAATCATCAGTATTAAAACAATTAAAGACCTGAAATATTTCAGTTGGTGTGCAGTGAATCTGAAATATATGAAAGTTTCATTTTTATCATTACATTATGGAAAATAATGACCTTTATCACAATATGCTAATTTTTTGAGAAGGACCTGTACATGATTGTTAAGTTTCAGGGAAGGGTCCATTATCACGCCCAGATTAGTGACTCTTTGTTTTGCTGACAGGGTTAGAGCGGAGAGGTCGATACAGTGGTTTGTGATCATGTCGTTGGGAGGGAACAACATGACTTCAGACTTCTTTCATTGAAACTCAAGAAATTTAAAGTCATCCAGTCCCTGATGTCAGCCAGGCAGTCGAGCAGCAGCAGTTGTAAATCACCACTTCTAAAACATGTCTCCCACAGGAGAACACTGTACATGGTTCTGAACAAGCGGGGGGAGGAGTTTAACGTTCAATTTCATGTTAAACTTGATGATTTTGAATACCTTTTATTCGCCACTTCCTCCAATATGAAATGTTTTGGATGTGGCCAGGAGGGGCACGTGGTAAAAATGTGCCCAAACGGGGCCGGGCCAGCTCCGCCCGCTGCTGCAACAAAAAGTATGTGTGTTGAAGAAGGTGGCAGCACGGAGGTGTGTGGTGATGGGGAGAATGGTGAGAATGGTGGTGGCGGTGGTGGGGAGAATGGTGGTGTTGTGGATGGTGAGGGGAAGACTCAGGGTGAGGTGGGGGAGAGAAACGGAGAGCGAGGTGCGCAGGAGGGTGAGATGGATAATGAGGAGTTAGTGTGTGGTGACCAGGGAGGGAAAGGAGAGGTGGAGGTGGATGGAGAGAAAAAAGATGCAGGAAAGAAAAGTGAGAGATCAGGAGCTGGTGTGGAGGGATAAGTAGGTGCGGCCGTAGAGGAGATGGAGCAGGGGGCTCCAACCCAGCTAAAGAAACAAGGCAAAAGAAAAAATGTTGAAGCTGCTGCACAAGCCAG